GATGTTCCACATCACTAATCATCAGAGAAATGCAAATTAAAACCACAATGAGATATCACCTCACACCAGTTAGGATGGCCACCATCCAAAAGACAAACAACAACAAATGTTGGTGAGGATGTGGAGAAAGGGGAACCCTACTACACTGCTGGTGGGAATGTAAATTAGTTCAACCTTTGTGGAAAGCAGTAAGGAGGTTCCTCAAAAAACTAAAAGTAGAAATACTGTTGGATCCAGGAATTTCACTCCTAGGAATTCACCCTAAGAATCTCAAAAAGGAGCCCAATCGCAAAAAGACATATGCACCCCTATGTTTATTGCTGCACTATTTACAATAGCCAAGATATGGAAGCAACCTAAGTGTCTATCAGTAGATGGATAAAGAAGAGGTGGTACATATACATAATGGAATATTATTCAGCTATAAGAAGAAAACAAATCCTACCATTTGCAACAACATGGATGGGGCTAGAGTGTATTATGCTCAGTGAAATAAGCCAGGCAGAGAAAGACAAGTATCAAATGATTTCACTTATCTGTGGAGTATAAGAACAAAGAAAAGAACTGAAGGAACATAGCAGCAGCAGACTCACAGAACCCAAGAATGGACTAACAGTTACCAAAGGGAAAGGGACTGGAGAGGAATGCTGGGAAGGGAGGGATAAGGGGGAAAAAAGAAGCATTACGATTAGCACACATAATGTAGTGGGGGCAGGGGGACATGGGGAGGCAGTATAACACAAAGACAGGTAGTGATTCTACAGCATCTTACTACGCTGATAGACAGTGACTATAATGGGGTATATGTAGTGGGGACTTGATATATAGGGAGAGTCTAGTAACCATAATGTTGCTCATATAATTATACATTAACAATACCAAAATAAAAATATAATAAATATAAATAAAATGTAAGAAAATCACTAGAAGTGTTAGAGTACAAAGGTGATGTTTCCAGCAAGTAGAGTGAAACTTTAAAAAGAGGAGAAAATAGAAAATAAAAGGACTAGACCAGGCAGTTCTACAGTAGCTTAATATTCCAGAAAGAGAAGACAGAAAATAGAAAGGAGATAACCAAAGAGTAATTCAAGAAAATTCCCAGAACCAAAGCCTAAGAGTTCCTGGGTCACAAGGGCTCAGAGGATCCAGCGCAGAGCAGCAATGCTTCCAGGGCAAGCTGTGTGGATCTAGATGGGGATGGGCAGTTAGGCCAGGCTCTCTTAAACCGGCAACAAGCAACTGGAAGCTCTCAGGGGCTGACAAGAACAGAGATACTTTCCTCAGGATGATTTCACTCTGAGGGCGTTGGGGCGGGGGGTCTGCACTGAGGCCTTCATCTTGAACAACATAATTTATCAAACCAGATAGGAAGAAACTTATATTCACAGCTAAATGCTGGGCGCAGAAGTGAAGCTGGGCACCGAAGTGAAGCTGGGTACCCTTCTCAGCTGCTGGGCACATGATTATGAGGCAACCAAGGTCCAGAAGTGAACTAAGACTGAACAGAGAGCTAGACATGTGGTTGAACAGTGGCCCTTGTGCAAGAAGATCCCACAGTCTTACAGAAAGAAAATGCAAGTCCCCCAAAAAAGGGACGGCTTCAAACTCCTCCTCAACACTAGAAGCCAGAAGGCATTGGAACAATGCCCGAGAAATTCTGAAGGAAGCTTTTTCTAGAACTGTACATTATCAATCAATTAAATGGGAAGACAGACACTTAAAAACAAAGCCTCAAAATTCTCCTCCCGTGCCCATCCAAGCTCACTGAAGTGTGAAATCAGGAGAGAGGAGATCTTTGACAGGCAGAGCAGCCAAAGGGTCTGGGGGTCATCTTCAGGAAGGCTCCCCACAGGGGTCCTGATGCTTCCCAGCATCTTGAGGAAAGATGCAGATAACCAACAAAACATCTAGAGTTGAATCAGAAATAGCACATAAAAGCAAAGTAAAACAAAAACAAGCCAATTATCAGCTGCTGGGGAAAAAAAAAGTCACATACAACACAACCTACTAGGAATAGGAATAGCATTTAGTCATACATATAAATATTAAATGTTGATATCCTCACAATTACACATCTCTGTGGGGGATGAGGAAGAAAAGAAAGCAAATAAACAATTATGTTCCAGAGAAGAGAATCATAATACCTGTTAATGAAAAACCAAGAACATGAGATTCTATGGCACAAAGCCAAACGCCAAACAACTGACAAAGAGGATTAAGTGCTGCCTATAGGTAGATGGAAATAGTGTCAGGGGACCTATTTTGCCTAACAAACCCAGCAGACTGCTATTTGACTTCTGAAACTACACACGTCAAGCTGAGTCTCTGCCTGGTAGGCTGGCATACTTGTCAACCAACCAGACCTTACAGCTCTTCCAGTGCACTCATAGCACTCATTTAAGTGCTACAGAGGCTGAAACACTTAAGACATAATCCCTGTCCTCAAGGATTGGTAATTTCATTGACAAGAAAACATATGTACAGAAAAGAACTCAAGGGCAATGCAAGCTGACATATGCTCCCCTGGGCATGACACAGACCAGTTATGTGATGGCGGAAAGGGAGACAGGACCGAGCAGGCAAAAACAATTGTGAGACAGATGTAAGAGGTGGAATGAGAAAGAGCAGCAGAACTTGAGAGAAATAGAGAGAGCATTTCTAGACTGGCTAATAGTGAGGTGTGTGATTTGGGAGTATGGACAGTTTTCTTACATGGGGGGAGATTTTACTCCAAACAGGCAGAGCAAGATTGTTAATAAGGAAAAGCAGAGACTAGAAATCACAGGCACCCTGCTGACCTCCATTTCCAGTGTCCTCAAGACAGGAGCCCTGTAACGATTTTCCTGCAGAGTGTCTCCAATTTACCATCCCTGCTTATCCTTAACTCTGCCTCCAGCCTACTCTTAACCCCCTCAGAACTGAAATCACCCTCTTCATGACCTGGCACAAGGCCTCTCCCAGCCCTGCCTGCTCTGCCTTCCTCGGGCAGCCTCATCACTGCCCTTCATCTTCACACTCCAATGACACACTACCCTTCTCTGCATTCCTAGAACACTCACTGCACTTGGTTGCCACAGGGCCTCTGCACATGCTGTTCCTTCTAGAACACATTCCCTCTTCTATTCTCAGCTCAAGCCTCAATTCCTCCTGCCCAATTGCTCTAATGCAGGGGCCCTGTCATAAGCTCTCACACATTCCTTTCCTTCATTCCAGTTTGTAATTTAACCCTCATTTGGATGATTATCTAAGTCATAACCACCTCATCTTCTAGGCCAGTGGTCCTCAAAGTGGGGCTCCCAGACCAGTCAACAGCTTCCCGGGTGAAGCTGTTAGAAATGCAAATTGCCAGGACACACCCCAGACCTACTGAATCAGAAACTTGAGGTGGGAGGCAGCAATATGTTTTGAAAACGCTCCAGGTGATCTGATGCACATTCTTTAAGAAACACTGCCCTAGACTCTACAACAGAACAGCCCAGGTGTCTGCACTTCTTGGGGTCTGGGCACCAAGCAGGCAACAGACAACAGGACTCAGCAGGATTTCCTGATCAAATGAATGAGCAACTTCCTGTGGCTGCCCAGATCCCCTACCTTATCATCCTTAACCCTTCTAACTTTAGCAGCCCCCATAATCAACACTACACCTGCTGCAGGCCTAGGTTCTAGCCCCTGCCTTTGTGAATTCTGAACTTAGCTCTTTATAGGTTATCATCTGTGTGATCATCTGTAACTTCCTAATTTCTCTTGGCCTTAATTTCCTGACCTCTAGAATGGGGATATAGTATCTATTTCCTATTGTTGAAATAATTAAATGAGGCAGTGAGAGAGACTCATGCCTGCACATATATGGAAAGCATTCAGCAAATTTAGGTATATTATTGTTTTAACAATAATCATGCAATTTTAAATGGTCTTTCCCAGGGTCTAGGCTTTCTTACTCAAGACTGACTACACACACACTTGAGACTAGCTTTTCCTAGCTTGCGAACTACTCACATCTAACACCCATCCCTGGCCTGAAACCTTGCCTAGCAACCAGGAGCCCTGCTGGAGCTTCCTCAGCTCCACCTCCTGGAACAGCTGGGCTGTACTAGACAGGCTGGGTCTTAATCACACATGTCTTCCTAGAGCTGACCTAGTCCCTCTCCCAAGTCCCCCTCTCAAGCGGTTAGCAGGTGGTTTCATTTCAGTTTGTGTCTGTCTGGTGGCTTAGATTCAAACGAAGCTCACGCTGGGAGCTATTTCTAATCCAGTTTTGGTACTTCGTAAAGTATTAATAGAAGCAATTAAAATATATTCCCATGGAACAGATCTTTAAAAAAGGAACTAAAGGGCGGTTTCTGCCTCTAAGAAGACACAGGGTGCACCACCTGCCTGCCAAGTGCCCCTCCAGCCTCTCTGGCGGCGGTGGGGTAATGACAGCGCGGGAGTCCCGCGCGCCAAACCTGGGCGCGGCCGCGGGCCGGGGGGCAAGCAGCGCTTGGCTCCCCAAGAGTTAAATGCTGAGTAATTTTCCTGCGGAGCAAACAGTCGTAGCGGGGACTCTGCCAACGGCAACAGTATTTTTATCCCACTTCACCAGCTCGGCAGAGCGGCCGCGGGCGCCCCCAGGGTGTCCCCGCGGCACGCTCCGATCGCCCGCGGACCGTCGCCGGCTCCCGTGCGACGTGGACACCAGTATCACGCGCCGGGGCGGGGGCGGGCGGGAGCCGGGTGGGCCGAGGACAGCGCCGCGCCCCGAGGCAGGGGCCCCTCCGAGGCCGCCCAGTCTTCTTTAGGCCTAAGCGGTCACTGTCCGTGTCCAACTTGGCCGGCTGCTCCGCTGCAGGAGCCCAGCAGGGAAAGCGGCCCGCAGCCCGGAGAGCGCAGAGCAGGAGGTGCAGGTCCTGCCCGGGGCGGGGAGGTCCGCCCAGGGGCCGTGCCCGGCCAGCCACCCCAGCCGCGCCGCCGTGGCCCCGGGAATGAATGGGGCTCCCCCGCCGGCGCGGGCGCGCACTCACAGGCGACATAGGCGAGCAGCGCGAGGCCCAGCAGCAGCTTCATCCTCCTGCGGTTGACGGCAGACACGAGGCGCAGCAGCGCCTTGCTCACCATCCCCGGCAGCCGCGCCGGTCCGGTGCCCTGCCGCGCGGGGCCCGCCTGCTTCACAATGCGCGGCGGCGGCCGCCCGGGGAAGACCCGCCCCCTCCCCGCGCACCCCGCCCCCGCGCGCCGGGCTTCCTGCCGGAAGAGCCATTGCGCACGCGCCGCCCCTCCCCGCCTCCGCCTCTCCCTCCGACGCACCGCCCCTTCCCCGCCTCTCGCTGCAGGCGCAATTGCAGACGCAAGCACTAAGGTTTCGGAGAATGTGGCTGGGAGGTGGGGGCTGGCCGGGAACGACGCATGCGCGGCGCGACGTGTTTTTTCCAAAGTGGTGTCAGGGCTGTGGACGCGAAGCGTTTCTCCAATTGCGGCCGCGGTCGCCGGGTTTCCGAGCCCAGCCCAGTGGGTGGCACGCGGTGGGCTCCCATGTTGATATGAAAAGAAATATTTATGCTAAATTTAGCCCTGTCTTAGAAGTTCTTTGGCCGCCTCGCTCAGAAAGTGAACTAGTTCTCTGGGCTATGTTGGCTTCTTTAGTAACGATCGCCGCAGCGAAATACCAATGCACCAAACATTGCTAACGTCAAATTCCGATGCCTCTTTCTCTCTACTGTGATCGACTGGGATGTCTTTCTTTTCAAAACAAAGTTTGTCGTCATTATTAAAAATATAATGCTTGTAGTATTAAAGTTAGGAAAACCAGGAAGAGAATGAAATTACTTTGTCTTTACCTAGAGAAAAACACTGAAGATGTCACCATGTGTTTCATTCCCATCTTTTTCTTGAGTGTATATATTTTAACATAGTATGGTGGTGAACTGTGGCGGTGTACGGATTGCATGTGCTGAAACTGAATTCATTTCTTCAATAAGCATTTACTGAATGACTACTACTAGCAAGGAGGTGTATCAGACCATACGCAAATAGGAGCTTATCGGATCCACGCGAAGGCTGGCCCAGGCAGAGAAAGAAAGATGGTACACAAAGGTCTGTAAAATGGCAAGGCAAGAGAGACGCCGGAAAGTGTTGGGGAGCTACAGGCTTAATGTGCCGCTGAGGAAATCAGAGCAGCCAGCAGTGTCTTTGACCTCTTGGAACGCCAGGCCCTTTTGCTAAACTTAACAATCCAGTACTTTTCTTTAGCTTTATTGGGAACCTCCAAGAAAAATAAGCAACTAGCAACAAATCGAAACAGTAATGTACTTTTCATACTACGTAATACAAATGCTAAGATTCTGCAATTCTAATACAACCTTCCTCATCCCAGATTTCCCCGTTAACGGGTGGAGAATCACTGAACGGGGAGGAAATATGAGCAGTTTGCTAAAGCAAGAGCCACCCTGTTATCACCGCTGGTCACAGCTGGAGAGGCCTCCTTTCAAGAAGCCCAGCCCCAGTCTCTGAAGTATCCAAGAAGGCTGGCAGGGAACACCTCCTTAGGAGGCCCAGAGAACACTGCTGGAGGAGCCAGAAGCCTGGGGTTCCAGAGTCCACTTGTCTGGAATAAACTGCATTTTGTCTGAGACTTCATTTACTTATTGTTCACAGTTTGTTCTCTACTGTGATCGACTGGGATGTCTTTCTTTTCAAAACAAAGTTTGTCGTCATTATTAAAAATATAATGCTTGTAGTATTAAAGTTAGGAAAACCAGGAAGAGAATGAAATTACTTTGTCTTTACCTAGAGAAAAACACTGAAGATGTCACCATGTGTTTCATTCCCATCTTTTTCTTGAGTGTATATATTTTAACATAGTATGGTGGTGAACTGTGGCGGTGTACGGATTGCATGTGCTGAAACTGAATTCATTTCTTCAATAAGCATTTACTGAATGACTACTACTAGCAAGGAGGTGTATCAGACCATACGCAAATAGGAGCTTATCGGATCCACGCGAAGGCTGGCCCAGGCAGAGAAAGAAAGATGGTACACAAAGGTCTGTAAAATGGCAAGGCAAGAGAGACGCCGGAAAGTGTTGGGGAGCTACAGGCTTAATGTGCCGCTGAGGAAATCAGAGCAGCCAGCAGTGTCTTTGACCTCTTGGAACGCCAGGCCCTTTTGCTAAACTTAACAATCCAGTACTTTTCTTTAGCTTTATTGGGAACCTCCAAGAAAAATAAGCAACTAGCAACAAATCGAAACAGTAATGTACTTTTCATACTACGTAATACAAATGCTAAGATTCTGCAATTCTAATACAACCTTCCTCATCCCAGATTTCCCCGTTAACGGGTGGAGAATCACTGAACGGGGAGGAAATATGAGCAGTTTGCTAAAGCAAGAGCCACCCTGTTATCACCGCTGGTCACAGCTGGAGAGGCCTCCTTTCAAGAAGCCCAGCCCCAGTCTCTGAAGTATCCAAGAAGGCTGGCAGGGAACACCTCCTTAGGAGGCCCAGAGAACACTGCTGGAGGAGCCAGAAGCCTGGGGTTCCAGAGTCCACTTGTCTGGAATAAACTGCATTTTGTCTGAGACTTCATTTACTTATTGTTCACAGTTTGAGTTTAGGTTAGAGCTATGATTTTTGCAGCAAGGTGTCTAGAGCAGGTAGGGCTCTGAGCTCCTCCAATTCAGATTCCATGGTTTTTAGATTAAAGGTGAGGAACAGAGATGTCAGAAAAGATTTTGTTGACACTTGCCCTACCAACAGAAATCAGATTGAAGCCGTAAGCAGATTTCAAGCATATTGCATTGCAGGCAGGGTTTAGTTGATAGGTATCTTACCAATTGTGAAATACATGCCATTTCTGTGCAAAACTCCTTAAAACCCCGGATTCCTAGTGGAGCGAGCGTGCTTCCCACCGTCATACACTGTTGCTGACTTCTGCCCCACTGGGTAAAGTATATGGAAATACCATTAGCAGCCACAGTTAAAGTAACTGCTGCTATCATTATTATTACCACCCAGAAGGCTGCTGGTGCCCAGGACCCTGATTTACAGCGTAAGGAAAGCCAGAATTGGTGTGGGGAGTAAGCAGTAGTAAGTGTTGTGCCCAGTGAAGGTGAGAAGACCTGAGGGGAAGGATGTGCCAGATAGGCTCTCCAGGCTCACTAGGGAAACCAGGGGCTTAGTAGGTCCCTTTCCTGAGCCCCTGGCTTCCCTTCCCTTCTCTTTTCTTCAAGCCCAGCTGGTCTGGGCTCACATCCTCAACTTCTTTGCCCTTGCTATCAACCACTTCTTTTTTTCAGTGGACATGTTAATATTTTTGAGCAATTACTAGTTAAAAAGGGAAATCTCAAAATGAATTGTAGTATGGTCCTCTCCTCAAGTGTTGAAAGCCAAAGAAGGGTAGGAAAGTGACACTGATTAGACTTCTACCTTGTGCTGGGACTTAGGCCAGATGCTCTCACATCTCATCTCATTCTTGCAGCAGTCCTGTGGAGAGGGTCACTATTGCTGCTCTTCCTTTATAGATAAGGAAACTGCAGCTCTGAGAGTTTAGTCAGCATCCACACAGCTGTGAGTGTGGGGCTGGGTGTCAACCCACACCTTTCCCCTACATGAGGAAGCTTTTCTGTAGGGGAAATAACAATAATTCATGGTAGAAAGCCATGAGTGCTGTCAGATAGATGGCTAAGGAAACCTGCAAGAGAGAGACTTGCTGGTCTTTGAAAATTCAATCTGAGACTCCTTATGATAAACTCCAGCAAAGCAGATTTAAAAGAATAGCACTATTCCTATTGCTCTTGTGAAAATAATTGAGCCAAATTTGTGAGACTTAATTTGCAAAAAAATGGTTATCTTTAATAAAAATAAGGATGATTTTAGAGAGAAAACAATGTTTCAGTAACACACCTTTGTGGGTATTAGATTCTAATTGTGATTAATTGTCTTTGGGGGTTTGTTGTTTGCTTGTAAACTGGACTGGATCCTGAATTCTTCTGGTTTCCTGAGATATCAGACTATGACTCTTCAAACTACTGTTTCCGATTTTCTCCCATTCTTTTGACTTGGAATCATTGAGAACTAAAGCCCTGCAAAATGAAACTAGATGACTTGATACAAAATTCAGAGAAATTGAAACAACAGCCCACATTTAGAAAATCTTAGTGCCTGTTGCTGTATGGGCCACTCAGAAAGATCACCAGTGAGTTTGAAGTGATGAAGCCATCTGTCAAAGTAACTTCTGGATGGTGAAACTTTTATAAGTTTCTGAGGTGGGGACGTTTTTCTGCCATCCTCCCCCAGGATCTCAAGGTTGCCAATCTTTGTGAAATGAAATCTGGGGCTGGTAAATACTTGTAAGTACAGAGCTTTTCTCATGGATTCCCAGCGAGATTCCCTCAATCCTAGGGGTAATACATGTGATGAGTCTCACTGTTCTTATTGTCTCACTCATTTATATAATGGTCAAACTCTTTATGTTCTGTCCAAACAAAGGTTGTTCTGATATAGATAAGATTACTGACACTACTAAAGAGATGCCTATAGTCAGTACACAGGCTCTTATGCCTGTGTGAGGCACTAGAAAAACGTTAATAAATCAGGTTACATGATTTCATTCCAGAGTGGCCCTCACTGTCCCTGTCCAGCAGGAAGTAGTCACATGACAGATGACATCACTTTGTCCCTGATCCTACAGGATTTTGGAATGGACTGTTGACAGTAAGGAATTGTAAGAAAGTGAAAAATGCTTGGCATCTCTGCCTTCATATTTTCTCTGTCTCCTTCACTTCTTAATCTTTGGGTTCAAAGCTTCTGCTCAGCCTTGCAGCCCTGCACATAGGCTTGTTAATCATCAGAAGGCATTTTGCTCATGGCTTAAGACTGATGCAACCAGTCCCTTACCCTAAACTCACCTCTCCTGAGGAAATAAAGAAGTAACAAAAATGACGACTGGATTGTCAAGGACTTTCAGGAACATCACGGCCAGGCCACATCAAGAAACGAGTCAGCTAACCACATACAAGGAGTTTTACCACCCTCCTCCAACCCTTGCTGACCCTCACTGATGTCCAGATGTCTGAGGTAGACTGTCACCTCCTGACCTCACTGACCTCTTGGTCCCTCTTTCGTGATATAAAAGAAAATTGAAATCAGCCCTAAGTTAAGGACATGAGTCTGCCATCTTCCCTGCCTGCTGGCTTTCCAAATAA